TAAATATTCATGGGTTTTGCAACCATCATTACAGTCCATTTTAGCATGTTTTCATCTCTCTCTCAAGAAAACCATACCCATCAGCAGTCACTCCCCATTTCCCCCCCGGACCCCCAGCCCCAGGTTTTCAGCTGCTTTCTGACTATGAATTTGCCTAATGCAGACATTTCATGTGAATGAAATCATACAAGATGTGGTCTTTCATGTCTGGCTTCTTTCCCTAGCATATTTTCAAGGTTCATCCATATTGTAGCATATATCAATACTTCATTCCTTCTTATCGCTGAATGATATTACATTCACATTTTGTTGATCCATTCATCAGTTCGTGCACATGTGGGTCGTTTCCACTTGTTTACTGTTATGAATCTTGCTGCTGTAGGCATTCACATACAAGTTTTTGTGTGCACGTGTGTTTTCATTTCTCTTGGGGGTACACCTAGGAGAGAATTGCTGGGTCATGTGGTATCTCTGTGTTTAACCTTTTGAGGAATCGCCAGACTGTTTTCCAAAGTGGCTGCACAGGCATGTATTCCCACCAGCAGCATACGGGGCTTCTCATTTCTCCATATCCTTGCCAACACTTGCTATCTGTCTTTTTGATTATCGCAGTGGCTCAACAAGTCCTCCTGTTTTAGCCTCACCTTAATTCTCCTCCCAGAGTAGCCTGTGTCCTGAATGCCTAAGCCTTTTTAGGATTCTGGGGTGGAAATCGTTGCCTCTCAGCTTTCTCTGCCGCTAGCACAGGGCTCAGTCTCTTGGGTCTGGGGTGCGGTGTGGAACCACTGTGGTGGGAACTTGAGGGTCGCACAGACCTGGGTCTTAGTGATGGTCTGGCTGCTCACAGGCTGTGAGACCTTGGGTCAGATTACACCACTTCTCCGAGCCTCGGTTTCCTCACCTCAAAAACAGAGAAACATAATGAATTGAAAGTAACTGACATCCAGTAGGTGTTGACCAAGTGTCACATCTCTTCTCTTCTCCATATGTGGTGGATGCTCAAAAAGAGAAAGAATCCTGGAATTCATCAGCTAGTGGGAGCCAGAGATAGTAGACACATCACTCTGCAATAGACTTCATTTTCAACAATAACTACTGAGTGCCTAGCACATGTCATAAATGCGCTGGTTGCTCAGGGTACAGCGGGACATGTTTCCTGTTTTCCAAAAGCTTTCCGTCTGGTGAAGTCAAAACCAGAACTGGAATATCAGGCAGACAGAGGGAAGGGCTGTCACACTGATACAGGTGGGGTGTCGGGAAGGAGAGGTAAACTCTAAGCACAGGGATATTGCACAACTTGGTCCACAGATTGATTGGAACATATTAATATGTATGACTTCAGCTCTCCAAGCCAACTGAAATAAACTTCACTTGAACTCCTGGTCCTCTGAAATAGCGAGGCTCAAAGAATAAATCAGCAGCAGAATTCTGTTCAGCGTTCTCCATCACGAAACCTCTGGCCAATGTGGCTCTGGGCCAGTTACCAAGGAAAGTAAAAAAAATAAAGTAAAATAAATAAAAATCACATTCTGAAATAGGCACGCAGGAGGCAGTGTAGCTCATAGGTATTTACAACAAAAATGCTATGGTCCAGCTGTGGGAGCCAGGAAAGTACATGCTTGTAGCTATAAACCTCCAATTAAACACGTTTTGTTATTTCGGATGTTAAGGTGACTTCTCCCTGCAGACTCAAGCAAGTTATGGCCACTGCAGGACTTAGAGACCTTAAATCTTTCTTTTTAAAGTTTTTTTGGGGGGCAGGTAATTAGGGTTTTATTCATGTATTTATTTTTAATGGTGGTGCTGGGGGTTGAACCCAGGACCTTTTGCATGCTGGGCATGCACTGTACCACTGAGCTATACCCTCCCCTCTGAGGCCTTCAATCTTAACGAAGGCCTTGCTCATGGAGGAGTGTGGCAGTTCCCTGGCGGAGATTGTGTGGAGACAGATACGAAAAGTGGCGAGTTGCAAAGGTGACTGGGTGTTCTTGAGGGAGAGTATCCTTATTTGCCCCTGTCACCTCTGCAGGACCCTGATACCATAAATGCATCTGGGATGCATTTAGCCTGCGTCCACACAGTGTAAGGAAAAGGTTTAGAGAACAAAATATAACTTTGTAACTTTGCACATGGTATCAGGCTGTTTGTTCTTCCTCAGATCCATCTGTCAGCCATGTGGGCCCTGTCCTTGTCTTTTGCCTCTAAAATCTTCAGGCCTTAGGAACATCTGACCCCTCCTCCTCTCTCCTCTGGCTCTTGTGGCCTGGTGTGGGCTGTCCACACAACCACAAGCCCCATCAGCTCCTGCCTCTTCCTCTTTCTCAATTCCTGAAACACCTAACTCCATCACCAGCCTGAATCAGCGTCTGCTGGCTACACAGCCGGGGGAACCCGGCAGTGCACTCTGGGGACACCTCCGGTCGTGGTCTGAATACTGAGCGTCATCCGCCCAGCTCTACTCAGCTTTTAGGGATGTGGTCAACTCTTGAAAACACTGAGTAAAATAAAGTTGAACAAGTCTTTTTCTCCTCTCTTTCTGAGCATCTCTCAGAGTCTCTAAGAGTGCAAAACCACTCTGAATTTCTAAGAAGGGGATATGGTATGTGGTGTTTCTCCTTTTTCTCTCCAAAGACTAAACGATAAGACAGACTAACTTAAGACACTTCGCGATACCTTCCCTGATTATCCCAATGAGATGTTTGTTGTCTGTGGTGCTTTGTACCCTTCGTGCCTCACGTGATTTATTATCTGATTGCAGATTTGGATGAGATCGAAATTTGTACTTTGGGAACTGCTCCAACCATTTCTCACCCTCCTGGGATGAGGGTTAAGACAAGAAGCAGGACATCCTGCTTGAGTCCTGTTAGGGGGTTTCTCGTAAACCCTTTGTTTCCTTCAATGCCTGATCGGTTTGAGTAAGTTCATTTGGAAGCAGAGCTGAATTGCTTTAATAACAAAAATAGGAGACTTTTGAAGTTCCCAGGGAAATTTCAGGGAGGAGAGAGGAGTCAGTCAGACTAAATGCTGCATGGGAAAGAGACCAGAGAGGAAAAAGAAAACAAACAAACAAACTAATGGTAGGTCTGCTGGAAAGAAGCTTTGGGGAGAGCAGAGATTTTAAAGCTATTGCTCTTGGGGGCACAGCTTAAACCACTTTGTTGTCTCCACTGTGAAATCTTCCGTGACGCCCCCTTGGCCCACAACCTGTGCATGCGAGCAGATTCTTTTGCAGATGTGACTCAGCAGTGGAGGGGCTGCAGCTGGCGGGAGCAGTTGACGCCTGGGTGGCATCATTACCTCTGTCTCATCAACTCCACTAGTCTGTAAGCACCTGTTTATTGAGTGAGTGAATAAATGAATGCATGGATTTCTAAGCAGAAGCAGCAAATCAGGATTTCTCTTTAGCTGAGACTGGACTGGACCTCTCAGCCATTAATAAGAGAATTGCTTAGGAATGCAGGCATAGAGCAGGGGCTTACTGAGTTGAACTAACCGATCCCTGAGTCAGTAAGAAACGTGTTATTCTTCTGGTTGTAAGAGCTCCATCTTGAAAGAACTAAAGCTTTAATCCTGGACATAAGAAGACGTCTTGAATTATGAAGGCCTGGATGTCTAGATTTCGAGCAAGATCTCTGCCCCGTTCTCTGAGTAAGGAAACAGCGGCAAAATACAAAGATATCCCACTTCTCCATCGTCTCGGGAGTGCTTGTTCTCGCCCATGTGCTTTCATAGCCCGTCGTAACGAGCTAGTGCCCTGAGGTTCAGCACACTGTGTTGCAGACTTCACACACCTTGGGTTTTTCCATAACATCTCAAGGTTTGGTCATAGCCAGATCCAGTGTCCCATTTGGGGACTGAAAACGATGATCACAGAGGTTTTATTTCCCTCCCTTCATGTTTGTTTCTTTGGATGATTGTCAGCTTCTTGAGGGAAGGGACCATGTCTCACTCATTCCTGCAGCCCCCTGCCTGGCAGTCTCTGGTCCATGGTGAGCCCTAAGTCAGTGCTTTTGAACTAAACTGCATTTGGGGAGGAAGCAGGGCGCTGGTGCAGTGATGGGGACCAACTCAAGAATAATTGGTTAGGGCTCCTTGGAAAGGCCTGGTCTCGACACCTTGACCTGTCATCAAAAGTACCCTTTAATTGCACAGTAAGTTGTGAGACCCACATCTGACAGAAGTGTAAAATGAGAAGTTCTTTATCAGTCTGATAAGGAATTGCATGATGTGCACATGAGGAGGGGGATTTAAGCTTTTGGTAGAAAGCTGAACTGATATGACATCTCTTGTCTCTGCAGTGGTCCCACCCTTAGCAATTCCCATAGCAGGGCTGTCTTTTGAAATGCATTTACTGGGAAACCACCATCAATCCAGGTTACCCAGTGGAAGGAGAGTGGGGAAGGGTTTGGCTGTCCTTGCGGGCGTCATGCTGGTCTGCTGAGATGCCACTGCGGGTGGAAGAGAAGCCCAGCATCTGAAAGGGAAGGCTTTAGGCTTAGTTATGTGAAGACAACTTGACTCTTTGGACAGCTGATGACTCAGTCATTCATTCACCAGAATTTATTAAGTGCCCGCTGTGTGACAGGTGCCATTCTAGGCATATGGGTTTCACTCCTGAAGCCAGACAGAAAAAAATTGGCTGTCAGGATGCACAATAGGGATGATATCAGAGAGTAATATTCAAATGGGGCGACGCGACATGGAGTGTCTGGGTGGTGGTCTGGAAAGGCGTCTGGAAGGTATCACACCTCAGCTGAGACCTGAGTTAGAAGGAGTCACCTAAGGAACAGAAGGAAGAGCATTCCAGGCGGAGGGAACAGCCAGTGCAGGGACCCTGAGGTCTGTTTCAGAAAGTGTGGTGTGTCCTGGGAGCAGAGGGACAGCCACTGTGAGGAGCATGGTGGGCGAGGGCAGGTGGGGCAGGGGGTGGGAGAAGTTCAGGCCAGCACTGACCCCGGACGTCTCCCCAGTGTTAACGCTCCGTCTTTTCTTTCTCGCAGACGACTTTGCAGAGGAGGAGGAGGTGCATTCCTTCGGTTACAAGCGGTTCGGTGAGTCCTAACAAAGCTTCTGTTCCTTCTCTGGGATATGGAAACATGACCGTGACCAGACCTTTGATACACATGAGCATGTGCGGCCCAGTTTGGGTTGGAAATCGAGTTTCCGTATAAGAGGTGGATGGTTTCTCACAAAATCTGAGGGTAATGGGACAGAAGTGGTGCCCAGGCACGGGAAGTGATGGACGCTTCGTTGGGGCAGGTTGTGGTTTGATGACTGCAAACCAGGTGGCTTAATGGGCAAAACACGGTGGGAAAGGTAAATCTGTGACAAGACAGGAGCAGAAACACACAGCATTTCTCTATTTTGATATTTAGAAAACATCTTTTCCCTTTTCCTCAGGCCCCGTGCTCCTAGCTTAGTCAAGGTTAGTGGATACGTGAGAGGAGGACTCTGGCCAGGAACGCAGCTAGACATGAGTGCTCCAGGGTGGGCTGAACCTTGGCCCCCAAAGATACCCTTGTCCTGATCCCTGGAGCCCGGATGTTACCTTAGATGACAAGAGAGCTTTGCAGATGTGCTTCAGTTACAGAGCTTGCGAAGGGGAGATTACCCTGGGTTATCTGGGTGGGCGCTAAATGCAGTCACAAGTGTCCTTACAAGTGGGAGGGAGGGGAAGGTTTGACAATACTGAGAGAAGAAGGCCTTGTGATGATGGAGACAGAGATTGGAGAGATGTGCTCTGGAGGTGGAGGAAGGGGCCACCAGCCAAGGGACACAGGTGGCCACCAGAAGCTGAAATGGGCAAGGAAATAGATTTTCTGTTAAGGGCACTCTGGTGGAAATGCGGCCCCACCAACATCTTGATATCAGCTGATGGACACTGATCTCAGACTTCTGGCTTCTCAAACTGTAGAAGAAGAAATCCATGTGGCTTTAAGCCACCACATTTGTGGTGACTGTTGCCATCGCCCCAGGGAACCAGCCCTCGCTCCCCTTCCTGCCTGGCTGTGCCCAGGGGTGCCCTGCACTCTGCCTGTGTTGCCCTTGAACCGCCAGTGAACACAACACAGCACTAAAGACAGTTCAAGGGAACTGAGGTTTTTCTGTCCAGCTTGTTTCTGTGCCTTAGTCAGAGGAAATGAAGGAGAGAGGAGAAAAGAATGAGTGTGTGTATGTGTGTGTGTCTGAGAGCATGGAGAATATGAAAGAGAGTAAATCTACTTCCTGTTGCTGAAAAAAAAAGATTCTGGCCAGACTTTGATTAAAGTTAACATCCCCCAGCTGCTCTGGTTCCCTCATTGCTTTAGCAGTTTTCTTTCTGGATGCACACTCCTGCATTTCTTTCTGGGAAAAAAAAAATAGGGCTTGAGAGAGAATGCAGCGCCCAGAGCCCATGGCCTCTCCGTGCACACGTGGCCCAGGGGCTTATGCCCAGCACGCACCACCCCTCCGCATGCTGTTCGTCATCTGCACAGTTTTGTGTCTCTGGATTGGTACCCGGTGTCCTTCTGCTCCCCATTGCGGGGTCGCTGAAGGAGGCCGTAGGAATGAAGAGGAAACCAAAAATTATAAAGGAAGGGAAAAGCAAAACAAAACAAAAATGAAAAGGCAGGCATAAGGAGGGAAATCAAGCTTGTGAAAATAAGGCAGGATAAACGATGAAGTGCCGGTGTCTTTTGGAGATCAACAGAAATGTGAAGAACCAAAGGAAAGTTTTCTTTAAGAAAGAGTGGCCTGGAGAGAAATTTTATTTGAAGTTTAATGACCCTGTAACTAGCTAGGTGGGTGGGGATTTGGTGGAAAACACAAAAAGATAATACATTGCTGAAAGGATTTAATTTATGGTGGTGAAATTATGTTTGGAACCCACACACTGGTGACTCAGAGGGGAGACGTGATAACAACTTACAAAGATTGGAGAACCAGAGAGCTGTGGAGAGAGTGATGCCAAGAGACACAGCGAAAGAAAGGGATGAAATTAGAATGGGGAACTGGACTGGGCTGTGAGAGAGACAGTCCCACCCTGAGAGTTCTTGGGTTGAGCTTTAAGGCACAGTGACGGATCTCCAGCATGGGGATAGGGTAGGATTTTGGAAATGGAAGAGCCTTTGAGGTGATTTCTGTCAGCCTTTAATTTTATAGATTCGGAAGGTGAGGCCCAGAAAGATTAAGTCCTTGCTCCAGGAAGTTAGCTGGGACTGGCCGGGATGCGGGGTCTAACTCTCGGGCTGGTGTATCTTCAAGGAAGGGTCCAGCAATGAGGCTGAGACGACCTCTCAGCTGCGAGGTTCTAGAAGGATCCCTGCCGTTCTGAACATTAAAGTGGGCTGGACACCCAGTCCGGCCCTCCTGGGAGCTGCATCGTTTTCGCTTGGCCTACGGCACTGGGCCT